CAATGATTAAAAAAAGTTAGGATTATAGCTTATGATCATAATGCTTCTCAACAAAGACTTAAAAGATTGAAACAATTGTGTAGAAGATAAAAAAAAATGTAAAATCTAAGATAATTCTAAAAGATATTCACCACAGGTGGAATTCTATTTATGCAAGGTTAAATATAGCAATAGAGTATAAAGAAATTATAAATGATTTTATTGTTTTCTATACTTCTAATTCTAGCTCTAGTAATATGTGTGGAATAACTAATGATGAGTGGGCAATCATAAGTTATGCAAAAGAGATGCTATAAGTTTTTTATTAAGCTATTATGTTATTATCTAGTTGTTATTATCCAACTATTACTCAAGCTGCTTTACAAGTTTTAAATATTTAAACTTTTCTTAATGCTTATCACATGAATAATTATTTTCAAGCATAATTTTTAAAACGGAAAGCAAATATAATAAGTATTTTAGATTTATTCCTATTATTTTTGCCTTGGTGATTCTTATTGATTCATGCTTGAAGGATATTAACCTTCAAAATTTGTTGAATACTTTGTATGAGAATATGGTGAAAGAAACTGATAGTGGTCAGTCTATTAGCTCTTACTCATCATGACACTATTAAATATTTTTTTAAAGATTATTTGATGAGTATGCAAGCAGATATGGTGTAAGTACACCTCAATCTACAGATTCTACAGGCTCTAGACAGGGCAAAGATAAGCTTTCTGAGAGGCAGTCAATGATAGAGATGCTAATAGGTATGGATAGTACCCATGAGTTAGGATCATTAACAAGAGAAATTTCTGAAATTAAACAATATCCTAGCTGCACTTTTAGTTAAATTTTAAAATAATGTTGATTTCGATATTTTGCAATGGTGAAGAGTATATGGAACAGTTTCATATCTTATACTTTTCATCCTGGCTCGTGATTTACTAATAGTGCAAGTTTCTACTGTAGCTTCGAAATCCTCCTTCAACACATCAGGGCATTTGATCGACGACCACAAAACATCGCTGGATCCATCTGCCGTATAGGTGGTAATATGCCTATAGGATTGGTGGAGGTACAAGAAGAGAGCTTATGGCGTTGATCAGATAGCTAGTATTAAAGATAGACTTAATGAGTTGGCGACAGGAGATAAAAGAGTAGAAAGTTATTTTTTAATTTGTAATTTTTATTTTTTAATTGTAAATCTACGATAAGTTATTTTGGAAAGAGTTGCAAGTGATAGTGATATAGATGAGTTGGTGCCAACCTAATTAGAATGTACTTATCTATCGTGATGCGGCGAGTTCCAAAAAAAAATTATAATTGTTACTGATTAACAATAAATAATTTATTTTTTATTGTTTTAATTTCAATGAACTTTGCAAATTGTATAATTATAAACGATTAATAATTAGATAGAATTTTTGTCAAAATTTTTCATATTCTAATTACTCTCAAATTTTCATCTTTTTTCTCAAAAAAAAAATCTAATTTTAAAGCAATTTTTTAAAAGAAAATATAAAAAAAAATCCTAGCCGGGCAGGTGCCCGGCCCGGTTTGGACAAGGCCTAGCTAATGTGCGACCGACCGCTCAAATTCACCAGTCGCCGAGCTCACGCAAAAACTGCTCTACGAGTTAGAATTGGGGGATCAGAAAACAAAAGTGTGTGAGAACGCCCGTACGAAGCAAGTCGCCTCACGAGGAATGATGTATGCAATACCGGAAGCGTGCAGCATATAGCTATATTTATTTAGTGTTCCGAGTTCATTTTAGTCCGGTGTTTAAAATAACATATATATATATATTATTATATATATATATCTAATATATAATATATATATATATATAATATATGAGAATGGGTTGGCTTGGTACCAAGCACAAAAAGTTGTGGCTTGGTAGTTGGTTGTTCAAATCCCCCTCCACATTCATTCAAATGTGTGGAACTAATTCACATGGTACCGAGTGATGGGATGGTGACATCACTACCAAGTACAATTTGTGGCTTAGTAACGGCAACATACCATTTCTATATATATATATATATATATATATATAATATATATATATATAATATATTATATATATATATAGCAAAATTGTTCCACATTAAGTGGAATCCACTAAACTTTTTAAACCTTAGATGTTCCTAGGGATCCTTGCATGATATGAAGTGACTTTTATAGTGTCTAAATGGTGGATATAAAGTTTGGTGGACCCTAATTCAGCTTCCAACATAAGTTGACAAACAGTTCTAATCTCTGATATATATATATATAAATGTGTAATTCTTGTACCGAGACCTTTGGTAGGTGATGTGAACATCTTGTTGCCATACATCACACCTTGAAATGGAGCCCTCACCAACTTCAAGGTGTGATGTATGGATAAGATGTGTCACATACTACCAAGAATCTTGGGCCAAGTATATCCATATCCTCATATAATTAAAATGGGTATACGTTGGTACAAGCACAAATTTGTGGCTGGTAGTGAGGGTGGATATTATCCCCACTCATTCCAAATGTGGGCGACATATTCACATGGAGTAATGGTGTCCCCAATTGAATAGTGGATGGGAATGAGAGACTCACTACCAGCACAAAATTTTTATAGCTTGGTACCAGTCATACCGCATTTTTCTCTCTCTCTCTCCTCCATATATATATAATATATATACTATATAGAAGAGAGAAATAGTGGAGAACCTTTGGACAAGTTGCTTAGCAACTTGTAGTGATGGTGGGCCTATCCTTGCCGCTACAATCACACAGTCGAAGATAGAGCCTCAACCACCTCACCAACGTCCAATATAGATGTATGGACAAGAATTAGCCACATCACTGGACGCAAGTTGATTGAAGCAACATTTTTTTTTTTTTTTTTTTTTTTTTTTTTTTTTTTTTTTTTTTGTTTTTTTTTGTTTTTTTTTTTTTTTGTTTTTTTTTTTTTTTTTTTTTGCATTTTTGGGGGGTACCAGTTCTGCATTTTTCTCATATATATATAATAATAGATATATCTATATTATATATATATATTATATCGAACTAGAAAATTTCTTCTATGTACTTTGAAATTAATACGATTTCGATTATATTATATATAATATTTATTCTTAAGAAAAATCATGTATTTAACCAGAAGAAAGTTAACGCAGTCTAGAACATACGTTATATAACGAGGGTGGTTTTTTAACCATCCTTGGAAAGACGATCGGTTTCTTCAACATGTATAGTCTTTGTCGTCATATTGAGCCGAAAAAGAGTGTTTCAAAATAATAATAATAATTTAGAGTTTACATACCAGACGGTGACATACTAGATGCGCCCATTAACATAAAACTGAAAACAGTTGCATAAAATGTCAACCTAGATACATAGTAATGCAGTTTCTCCAATAGACTTGCAAAGCAAACAAATCATGAAACAATTTGTTCCAAGGAGCACAAAAAGTTTTCCCAAAGAACACAACATATTTTTGATGAGAATGCTCTGCTAACAAAAATTACGAAAATGGGAAAAAGACCCGGCTATAATCAAAATGAGATCAGCAAAAATATTGCATACTGTTTAATATCACAAATGATATATCTGAAGCTAGAAAACAATAATACTATAACTGCAATACAAAACAACTCTCTTTGTTCTAGATAAATTTCTAGTCTTTTCCCGAACTGGATCATCTACTCACAAAATGTTGAACATACAACCTTTTGAATACATGCTGACAAAATGATCTACACACTGCACTGAGAATCTTTGCCAAAAAAAACCTAAAATTTACTTAAATATCAACCTGCAAAAAAAAAAAAAACAAATCGAAGTACAAATAAGATTTGGTGATTAGTAAGAAGACTTCAGCTCATATTACACGGTAGGGTTTTTTCCACATAAGCGACCTTTCAATGAGGTGATGATATTATGAAAACCACTTTCAAATGATTATTACTTCAGAAACCACCTTCGAAGGGGTTCCGATTGCAATCAACCACTTTGACCTATTTTCTAATAAAATTTCAACTGAAATTCCCAATATACCCTTAAACACACGTGCCTGGCACGTGGCATGTCTTCTTAACCAAATCTAGTGCCTGACTCGTGTTTTAAGGGTATTTTGGGAATTCAGTTGAATTTCATCAGAAAATAGGACAAGGTGATTGATTGCAGTCGGAACCCCCCTTTAAAAGTGGTTTTTGCATAAATTGAACTTTGATATTGGTTTTCGTATAATCCTCCTATTTGAAGGGTGGTTTCTATTGAAAAAAAAAATCTATACATTATCAATTATTAATTTTTGCATAAATTGAATTTTGAAACTGGTTTCTGTATAATCCTCCAATTATAAGGGTCGTTTCTATGAAAACCCCCTATACATTATCAGTTATTAATTTACTATGCAAAAGGAATTACCTAAGAAATATATGCATAAAAAGCAGAGACGTGATAGATTTGAAAAGAAAGGAAATGAGTTTACTTAAACATTTATTTAAGAAGTGTATGCTATTTGGCATGAAGCTTAATCTTTTTCTCTTGTACTGAAGTGTATGGTTCAGCAAGAATCTTGTCCTCGTAGTCACTCAGGAAGCAATCTTAATGGCAACTTCATTTTCATCATCTACAATACATTTATTGCTCATATTGAGACTACAGTTATTCCTATTTTTCTCATCATCAGCACAAATCACAGCTCCAAATTCTACCTCTGATATTCTCACAACTATCTTTAGGCCTCAAATGGGTTGTGATGAACCTATATAAACTGCTGCTAGCATCTACTTGCTATGGATAACTAGTCATTACATATTGAGCCTACATCAAAGTTCTCTTGCCTAACATTATTCTAAAGATAGGGAGATTAGTATGACAACCCCTCCTACAAGCAAAAGAAGTGTGAGACCATGTGAACAAAGCTCGCTGAGCAGCTTTAGTCTTGATTTTTTTTTTTTTTTTTTGCAGCCATTGGTATTTAGGTTGGGTGATTCTTGAAATGAAACTTTTTTTTTTTTTTTTTTTTTTGCAGCCATTGGTATTTAGGTTGGGTGATTCTTGAAATGAAATCTGAGGTGGACGCTGAAGGGTAATTGTACCCAGGTAGCCTAAACTCCTAGATATGGATAGGGTGGTTTACAGGTTTAGGGCAGTTCCTGTTATCCACAAAAGATTAGTTGCATAAAATTCTCACTTAGGAATCTTTGAGAACCAAATCCACGTGCTAAAAAAATAACATAGACACACTTCGCAAGTAAGAATATATAGGGGCCTAGAAAAGGAAGCCATTAAGCATACATTCAGAAAATAGTAAGCAACTACGAGAATTTTGTAGGTAAGATGTGAGCATGTGTACGCTAACTGAAATTCATGTATAAAATTACATAAAATTGTCACAATGATCAAAGACAATCCAACTAAGGCTGCAAAAGCAATCTATTTTTTCACAGATTCGATAATCCAACATATGAACAGGTAAGAAAAATTTGATGAGAATAATGTACAGCATATGGACCTGGTAATATCCACAAGTTGTGTTGGGTACCACATACAGACCATATAATGGTATTCGGAATTTTCAAAAACCTAATTCCACCCCCCGCCACAAAAAAAAAAAAGTGGGAAACACACACACACAAAAAAAATTTAAAAAAAAACAAGAACCGGATAGCTGAGGGTTCTTCTCTGGCACTAAGAAGTATGGAATCAAAAGTGGGGAAAAACTCTATCATTGGCGAGAAGAATGTAAATGGATACATGGATTTCTTTCAAACAATTCACACATTTGGTGTAGCCCCACAAAATTATGTTTAAGCATATGAACATCAAAAAATAGGAAATAGCAACTTACAAGCACCACTCTCATGCAAAAGTATTTTGACTTGTGATCACTAGCTGATGTAACAAGTAACCTGAACCAACCTAGTTGAAGGGGAAAGTAGCAGAAAGAACAGAAAAGTTAGACTATCTTCCAAACCATACATGTGTATGGTTCACACATGCACATAAAAAAGGAAACAGCACAGCTAAGAATAACTTACAAAAATTACTTCTTTGCTAAAGACTCCGACTTGTGCTCGCTTCCTGACGTAACAACATAACCCGGTCCAATCTAGTTTTATGGAAAATTAAAAGAAAAAACAGAACAATTAGACAAACTTCAAAGAAATAAAATGAAAAACAAGAAGCAAGCACTTAATAAGATAGTTGCTGTTAGGAGCAAATATTTATCACGTTCAAATCTTAAAATACCTGAACAACCTATCCCAAACAGAACTTTTCAGTAATGGTCTATATATTAATTAAGAGCTGATAAACTGGTTCCAAAGCTGTTTTAGATTCAAATAATTTTTTTGAATAAGAGTTATATTAGTAAAAGCTATAAAATCTAGAAGAAAATATATGATAGAAAAATAAAAATAAAGGATTTTTAAATCTCAAACTGTCATGTTAAAATTGAAGTTCTATATTAATTAATTTATATTAAAATTGATCTCTTTTTATGTCTAAATATTCATTACTAAATAATCCATTCAAAAAACATATCATAATTACATAAAAATAACACTTTTATTTTGTAATTATAGAACCATGTGGTTGAAGTGATGTGATTCAACCCAAGCAAGCAACAAGTGTTTTACCACTTATTTTCTTATAATTTAAGTAATTATAAACTCAATATTTCACATGTTTACGATGCAACTAAAATATTTCACATATTAAAGTAATTACTTCTAGTAGAATACTTCTAGCAAAACATCTGAGAAACAACAACCACTAAACGCATCCAGGTTAACACAAAGAGAAGGAATAAACAATTCAAACTTGGCCGAACTATTGATATGTAATACCTTCATGGATATAGGTTTCCATGTTTTTGGTGGTTTCAGAAGTCTCAATGATTCCGGATCAAAATATCTGATTTCATATACTGGCAAGGTTTTAAATGTCGGTTATCGGGGATTTATCGGACGGTCAAAATCCTTATCGGATAGCGGAAATCGGGGATAAGCAAGGTTTTAAATATCGGATATCGGGGAAATATCGGATGGCCAAAATTCATATCGGATTGCGGATATCGGGGAAATATCGGGGATATGTGCTAAATATCGGAATGCCATAATGAATGTTTGCATACATAGTATAATGCATTAAAATATAATCTCAACATATCTAATGAAATTTAAGCATACAAAATATGAATAATATATGTTTAGGATCACTAATCAACCTTCTAAAACAAACAAAAGTGCAAAGCAACGTTACAACATTCGATCTGCTTTTTTTAGAGCAAAATGTCATTTGATAAAATGGGAAAATCTTGATATCTCGCCCAAAAATTCCAAACACGGTATATTACTTTGCAACAAGCTATATAAAAAGATATATTGGTCCACATATCGGCTAATATATCGGCCATATCGGGGATTTATCACTCAAAATAGCCAAAAAGCGGTAAAGGATATTTAAAGACCATATCGGTTGCGGCAAGCCCTGTAAAAGGATATATTGGGGGATATATCGGGCCATGTCGGGGATATTTAAAACAATGGGGATAAGTAGTATTTATCGGAGTAATATACTAGCAAATAATAAACAAACATAAGCTTGAAAAAAATATAATGTTAGTCAAAATGGAATAATAAACAAGCAAATAATAAGATAACATCAAGAATGAAAAACCATCTACGCATCTACATAATTATTGTTTAATCATGAGATTTATAAACTAACTTACTAAGTTGATATTTAGTAGTTATGAGCCATTATCAATATCCATAAACAAACATTAGCTAATTACCAATCAACCAAGTTCTAAAAGCAACAAATATCTCATAATTTGTAAACATTCAAAGAGCAAATTCAAAAAAAAGTAAAAGCTCTCAAATCCTACTTATCGGCCGATAAAGCCGATATTTAGAGCCTACTTATCGGCCGATAAGTGTCTTTATCGCCGATAACTCGCCGATAAACTTCAAAAAACGATAACCGATTAAAAATCCTACTTATCCTAGCGGAAAGCTCCCAAATCCGATAACTCGGCGATAATATCGGATTATCGGCCGATATTTAAAACCATGTATACTGGCATCTTAAGAAAGTTACAAATAATAATAATATTCATTTTTTAAATAAAATAAGTAGAGGATATATGGGATAACTTTTCATAACCGCTGTAAATTGTAAAAATCATATATAACATGATAGCTGATATCCAGTAACTAAAAACAATGTAATATTTCAATTAATAAATTATTTTATACTTCAAACAAAAAAGAAATTCCCATGTGCACTTCTATGTTTATACTCTTCTTAGCAATTTTACATTTTTTTCTAGTTATCAACATGGGCCCAAGCTTAGATTACATGTGGCTCGAATTCGACCAGTTAGTAAACCAACTATATATCTACAAACTTTGTATTATTGTCCGGATCTGATTTATTGTTTTTGTACCAACTCCAGTAGGATTATCTGATTCAAGTCAAACTGGTTAATTTGAAGCCATGGGTACCGTATCAGGCTTTATCTTGATAAACTCGAAGCAGAAGTACTTAGAGCCCTAACTACCATGGAAATTATGTGTACACAGTTACCTGGCATTCACGTTAGATGGAGAGAAGGCTCTCCAAACAAAAGCGTGAAAAGATCAGTCAAGACAATAACAACATAAAAGGGCAGGTCAATTAATCTTTAAGAGTGTATCAGGGACCTGAGCCTTTAATTTATCCCTGAAAAGGTTTGACCATTGCTTCGGGTGAGCAGCAGTGGTTCCCTACTTATGTCGTTAAAACTTTCCAGAAACTTACCTATAAATGATTGACCTCATTAAGATCAATTGGTCTTCTGACCCTTAGTATTTCAAGTGCATGCAAGTGGAGCAGGTGTTTTGACTTGTATGGTTAACTATCTGCTATAATAGAAAGGAAAAAAGGCATTGTGCACAACCTAGCAGCACCCAATTATATTCAGCAGTAGAGAGCATATGGAGATGCTCGAGAGTGAGCAACACCTACAAGTTAGGAAGAAAACCTGACAGTCTTTTAAAATAACACGCTCTTGAAGCTGCACGTTGCTGCAAATAATGGAACCTTGAATCAAACACCCATCTTCTACAGTGACATGGTTCATCACAACAGAATTAACAATCTGTAATTTCAAAGAAATTTGACATTAAACTAATTAAAAAAATAGTAAGTTTGACCAGTACTATGAACTGAGATCAGCATTAATAATCATAATGAAGTGCTAAACACAATATTTTCCAGCTCATCATGTATCTAAGTGCTACCTTTACGTTTGAACCAATTCTGCAGTGGCGACCAATGACAGATCGTTTTACACTGCACTTGTCACCCAATGTTGAACATTCTGCGAGCATGCAGTGCGGCCCAACCTAAACCATCAAGATGATAAATAATTATACACGGCAAGGGAAAAAATTATAAACATCTACTAAAAGAACTAAACTGTCATTTCAAGAAAGAAAATGTGTGATGAAAAATTAATAAAATGCTTAATCAAGAAGGAGAAAAAGATGATAATCTCAAGAAACACCAAATAATTGTATGTCAAATTGAAATTATACGAACTCAAGTAGTGAAAATCAAGCAGCAAGCAAAATGAAAATCCTCGTAGGCAAATTGAAATGTATGGTCCATATCATTTAACCAAGGAATAACCTTCTGAAAAATGGCAGTATATAATTGAACTAGGCCAATTATGCATAATTTTTTTTTAGAATTAATGGGTACATTTTACAGGGTGTACATAGTTAGATAATTATAACTAGGCAATAAACACAGGATATAGATTTTTCTTATCTCTTCCCAAAAGATTCAAATACTCGAAATTCACCAGAAACAAAAATGTTTAATAATGATAAACAAACACAAGAAGATGCGTCTAGATACACACTTTAATAAGGAAAAGTATAAATGTTTATCTCACAGTAGTTTTAGATCCAAGCTCTGCTGATGGATGAACAATATTGTTTTGTGGAGAGAAAGAATAACCAGAAAGGTGACTAGCATCTCCAATAACCTACATTTAGATGATAAACCATAATGCCAAGTGAATCAAAATGAAAAATAATAAACTAAAAGGAGAAGAAAGCATAAGAGGTCCATATCTTACATCACGATTGATATCACTGAAAGCTTGAATAGAATTTAAACGAACACAGTACTTGCTTTTGTTAGCGATATAAGCACAGCATTTATGTGTTCTTTGAGCAGAGTCTGATCCATTAGGAGCCAAGACATTTTCTTGAAAAGCAGAGGGAGCAATCTCTCGGTGTTGGGAAAGCCATACCAAGTTGTTCTGAGAAGAAAGTGTGCCATTCCAAACATCTTGTCCATTCTGTCCTCCATTTGTTGAGACTTGAGATCTCTGACACAGATTTTAAGTACTCAATTATTTAGGATGACAAAATTAACTGTGAATCATAGGCATAAATACCACTTATCATACCAGCTGGGTCCTCACTAAATATGGCAGTACATCATGTCTTATGCTATGAAACATGTCCTTTTGATCCAAAACCTCTTGCAAAATGCTCCTGTTAAACAATTTTCATCAATAATGCATCAGAAGCATTTACAACATACGTGAGAGAAAAAGAAGCAAAAGAGGGGAAAATAAGATTTCATAGATAATAAATAATGTCAAACCTTTTAAATGCATACATATGAGCATCCATGAGATCAGCACGAATTTCCATCTGTACACCCAATAATTTTGTTTGGTTAGAAATTGGTTTATCATGTGGATGGGCAAAGTCACATGACAATCACCAAGAGATCAGACACAACTATCAATCTGGTTTGAAAATTTTCATTCTTTCTCCAATAATACCAGGACCATCTCAAATAGCCCTAATAATTTAATCAATCTGGTTTAAAATTCTCAATCAGATGCATCTACTTATCCTTCTTGCACCAATAAGTTAATCATATGGCCCTAGTGAACTGTTTTTACAAGTTAAACCAAATTTAAAAAAAGGAGTAGACCTACAGGTTTGCATCAAATAACCTGTTTTTTCGTTTTATTTATGCTTCTCGTACATGTCTGATCTATGTCAAAGTATGAAGAAAGATAACTTGTCTGCCCTATTGTTTGATCATCCACTCTCAGTGAACCTCTCAATACAAGTTTTGATTTAACCATTAAATTATATATATATATATATAAGGAGGCACCATAGATTCAATCTGGATGCACCTTCAAAACTACATTATATGCAATCAATTTACTTGATCCGCTTCGTTCATTTCAATCTATATGTTTTGGATGGTATATAAAATAAACAATTAGGCATATTGGATTATACTTACTCATGCATCAAGTGATTGTAAAATTAATAGTTTTATGAGAATACAACTAAAGAGACGATGAAAAATATGTGTTAGAAGTACTGAAACATCATGATTTTTACAATCACTTGATGCATGAGTAAATATAATCCAATATGCCTAATTTTTCATTTTATATACCATCCAAAACATATACATCGAAATGAACAGAGTGGATCAAGTAAATTGATTGCATATAACGTAATTTTGAAGGTGCATTCTTAGATTCAATCTAAGGTGGCTCCTTAGAATCATATTTTCCTATATAAAATTGATTGCATATAACATAATTTTGACGATCCGCTCTATTTATCATGATTAAAATATCTTAAAATATAGAAAAAAATCACCAAGGAAGAAAGAGTTAAAAATAATAATAATATAAAAAATAATAAAAATAAAAATACTAATAAATTTTTTATATATAGTTATATTTGTATATATTTTTGAAAAATAAATTGATCAAAAGACTTGAAAAGTATTTGAAATAAAGAGTTAGCATGTTCTTTTTAAAAATTTAGTTTATATATATAGAGAGAGAGAGAGAGAGAAAAAAATGAGTTACCAAGAGACAGAGGTAGTGAGACCCACAACTTTGATGTGACAAGTCGGGCAGGCCTTACCACAAGCTCATTTCTCGGTAGCTCATTTAGATAAATGAGCCACACCTCATACACATTATTTCCGCATATATATATAGGTAGAAAATAGAACAGACCTTATCTAGAACTGATGCTGCACTCCTATTTTTTGCATTCAATAATAAAATAAGTGGAACCCTCAAGATAAAAAGGTAATCCACAGTTCTTCTGTTTCTCTTTGAAGACAAAAAAATTAAACTCCTAAACAATAATTACTCTCTTAAAATGATTGAACCTGACTCAAAGTAAAGTTGTTCAAATCAACAAGTTTCCAGCATAATATATGGCAGCAATTTGCAATAAAATAAAAAATAATAGAAATTCAAAAAATTTGAAAAGAAATTTAAATTTTGTCCAAAATTAACTTCTAACTGATTTAGTCTATCTAGGTATTAGTCAGTGTACCATTGGTTACAGTTAGTTCGAAAATGATATCCCATTCCTTACTTTCTGTGCTGATTGAGAGAAACTATTAACATCTAAACTGAGACAACCGTCATTTTATCATGTACATGATCAAAAAGTCTTACACCTAATTCCCTAAATAATAGCTAAGACAATGTAGATTAACACAGACTACAACATCCAATATATGTTTGATAGTATAAACTGTCAATGAACTTTCAATTTGGATTAGCATGACCCATTATACCCATCCATCCCACAAGAATCCTAGCACGAAGGGACTTGCTCCCATCTAAAAACAAATCCAGAATAGATTTCAATATTGATAGTCCATAGTTCAAATCCAACATCTAGAAACAATAAAATTCGAGATTGTCCTACTTCAACTATTCAGACGAAGTGGAAGCCTCATTGCTCAGAAGGCTTCACAGTTGTTTTAATGATTTAAAGTAAACATACCACCTTAATTTGAAACTACGTTTTTTTTTAGGTTCTGGCTTTCAGTATCATAGTACCCAACACGACCGTCAAATAGTTTGTGAACTTGGCCATGATACTGGATTTAGCATAATGAAGTTTCCAGATACTCGCATGTATTTGTCAGGTAAGGGAATCGAGTTAGAGCCCAACTGATAGAAGACTCTCTGAGCTGCCTGGATTTGTTGTGAACATCAATAAGAGACTATTCATAAGAATATAAAAATTAAAAATATCTAAATAATGTTTACAAGATGAGTTGTTAAAATGCAATTTTCCTTTTCTATAGTATGCTTTTTATTTTTAAGATTCAACTGATGTCAATTTGTTATCATGATGAAAAGAAAGAGTAAAAGTTATACAAAAAGGCCTTATTATGAAGATGTTTTTCATAATTCTTGCATGTTAAGAAACCATGGATGACTTTGAAATTTTCCCAGACAGTGATAAAAATTACAAATGAAAAAACAAAATTGTTAGAACGACCCTTATATTGTGACAGGTAAACAGAAAATTATATGCATAACCTTTATGGGAAAAAAAACAAAAGACATTAGACAGCAATCATACCTGTCCAACAGCCTGAAGTATGCTCTTTTGCACCCGAATATCTTTATGAATCTCAGCACCTAGATTTAGGGGACTTAATGAGAAACAAAAACAAATGCCTAGTTAGAAAATACATGACAGTTCCAAGAAGCAAAACCTGCTGCTAGATGTAACAAAAATTGCTTCGTGGGATCCAACCCCACAATATTATGCCTGGCTGGTTTTTTTGCTTTGTCCTTCCCACCAGAGGATCCAGTCTCAGCAGGTCCACTGACAGGAGTATTACACAGTAGGGCAGTAACTGCTGCACCATTTCTTCTATGAGTAGCTGCCACAGCACCAGGTGGCACATCAGAGACAAGGTCACCACTCACTATCTACAAAGAATATGAAATTCATTACAAGAAAATTTTTAATCTTTAGAGGTAAATTGAGCTCTGAAGGTTGAATTCTTTCACCAGAACATCATTTGCAGTTAGATGATGGGCCACAGCCCGTAATGCACCAGCAGTTCCAACATCCTCAGGGACCGCAGCCACCTACAGTAAGAGCAAATGAGCAATAGATCGATTTTCATTCTTTTCAACAACCAAACCAACTTATAATCTAATGAGAACATAAGCAACATCATGAAACACAGGGATGATTAAACATATGGAAACAAACAAAATAAAAACATGCAATTCTTAGATTGCGTATACCTCCAAAATCTACAAGATATTGAAAAATACTAACTTCAAATCATTTCAAATATCACAGATCAACTTTGTTTTATGACAAACTAGTATCATGCACGTGCTTTGCACGTGAATGTACATGTTTTAAGTTTTGAATTTTTTATTAAATAGTAAAACTATGTGTTAATAAATAAAATCGTATAATAAGATTGCTTAAAAGGAAATCTATTAATTAATTATTATCATGTTGTTATTGTAATTGAATTATTTTCTTATAATGATCGCCCAGTGTTAACATTTTTTTAAATAAGTCCCCAATCTAAAATTGTTCTTAAATAAAACTGCCAATTCTATACGTTCTCTTAAATATGCCCCTCCAACTTGGAAGTTATTAACTTAACTCTAAATTAACTAAGTTACATTAATCTTGCTAGTTTTTTCATGATGTTCCCTAAATAGTTATGCTTGATACCTGTAACATATTGTAATAGTTACTTCTCATTATAATTACTTAATAGGGTAAATTACACTAAACCCTTATGAACTTTCAGCCCATATGAACTTTCAAAATTATACTAAACCCCTAATGAATTTTCTACTTCAAAGAAGACCCCCAGTAACCTTCTAAATTTTGCAAATAACCCCTATAAATTCGAACTAGAAAATGGCATAAAAAGGTATTTTGAAAATTAGTGGGGGTTTGATGTAATTTATCTAAAAGATATTGAGGGCTTTCTACAAAAGTTATTAGGGGTTTAGTGTGATTTCGAAAGTTTATAGGGTTTATTTACTGCAAAATGCTAAAAGTTCATAGGGGTTTACTGGAATTTACCTTATATAATATTATGATTTTTGTTCAAGTAATACTATTAAAATAATTATACTATCTATATTCGATAAAATATTTGTCTAATTTAATTTTTTTAGCTATGCTCTTAAAAAAATTAGTACTATAAATATTTTATAAATTTTTATTATACTCTCACTAACAATTAATAGTACTATTATTAATATTAACTAATTTTTTTAAGAAAGGTTAGCTTTCAATCATTATCAAGTACAAATTATTGAGTATGAGGTAATAATCTTTGAGAAAATACTATAAAAATAATAGTACTTTATTTATTTAATTATATAATAATAAATAAATAGTGCAAGTCATAACTTATGTGATATTATTAAAATAATTACATTATTTATGTGATTCAAATTTTATTCTATTTATTTTATTGCTCATTGAACTATAGTATAATTCTTAATAGTATTTAGTAATATATTATTCTATTTATACAATTATTTTAATTATTTTATTATAATTCATAAATAATTATTATAATAATTTAATTGGTTACCACTAATAATCGTGTATACTTATTTCATAAATTATCTTATTTAAACAATTAATAGTTATATTATTATTGATAATTATAATTATTTAGAAAGATGAGAAAGTGCATAACTAATAAGAGGTCATATTTATTTAATGAAATATTAATTAGAGATAATGGTATAATTAGAATTTATCAAAATTTGAGAGGGTAAAGAAGGAAATTAAAAGTTTTAACACCCCAATCCTCTTCTTATAGTAGTATAGATATAGAAGAATTACATATTCACTCCCCCATAACCCACCAACCCAAACTGCAATCCAGTTTGTGTATAATTTAGGGTGCGTTTACAATGTTGACTGCCAAAACTAGTCTCGAGCAACACAAAAAATAGATGATGCATGTTTTCAAAATAGACTTAATTTTGAGTTTTCAAGCATTACATTATGGCTTTAAAGGTTGGAAATCGAAAGTTTAGCACAATAAAAACTATAATCACGTATTTCAATTTGTTATAATCCTTTTCCTCACGTGTATTTGGTGTATCTTCACAAAACACTTAGCAAACTGATTTTCAAGAACACAGGAAACTCTACTAACAGTTAACCATTTCAACAAACACCTGGTCTGCAATCCTAATTGAAGATGCCCAACTCCAGAAAAGAAAAAAGGACAAACTCTAGAGCCCAAGAATATATTCTAATCAAGATTCATTCCAAATCCAACTTTAAATCAAACCTCAACATGAAGCCGATCAACATAGGCGCTGGAGATCCACCCACCAACGCGGAGAGCAGCATCAGATCCCTCCACAACCTAAAAAGAGCAGAGACAAATCAAAACGCTAATTCATCAAGAAATTAACTTTAAGCAAGAATCCATCAAAGAAGAACTAGGAGCTTACGACGATGAGATCTTTGAGGTTGCTGGCTTCGAGGAGCTCGAGGACGTAGGAGAGCACGGGGCGGTTCGCTACAGGGAGCAGCGGTTTTGGTACTTCCTGCAATTGAAACCAACTGGAAATCAGATTGAATTGAATTGAAAAGAGAAGAAATGAGAAAGGGTCAGGAGATTGATGGAGGACATTGGAGATTAGAGGGGCGAGGTTTTTGGAGTAGCCGCCGGCGAGGACGACTACTTGGAAATCCATTTTCTCGGTGATTCTCTGGCTTCTGATGTTGCTACGGTTTTAAATTTTGTTTAGGGTTTTGGGGACATTAAGGATTTGGGGATGTTGGGAGTTTACAGTCGCGGACAAGGACGGGAGTTGGACGAGAGAAGCACAGGGTTTGGCTTTTTCTTTTTTTTGGGATTTTTTTGGTTTTTTTTCTTAAATAAGGACAATTTTACTGACAAAAAAAATTCCAGTACTTAAATTATGAAAATGGACCACTTAAGATTTATTTACAAAAATCAACCCACTTTTAGTTATAGTAACAACTGTATGTTGAATTGGGAAGTCTCCGGATCGAAGTTGGGCTTCAGCACGAGGATCATCATGCTGTGCTAAGATTTTCCCTCAACGAAAAAAAATAATTGTGCGCAAAAAATTATCTGATTTATTAATTATTCTCCACCGAATATAAGGGGTTGTCAATCCTAAATAGTTTTAAAGGTGTGAAAAAGGATATATGTGATTGCATTTAGCAAAGTTTTTTTTCTATGTTATTTAAAAGCTCCCAAATAATCAAGCCAAGTACTTTAAGGTCATGTGTAAAAACCACATACTGTGTCCTAACTTTTCACTTTCTCGAAACATTCGACCTTCCCTCTACAATAAACTTTTGCGCGATCTTACTACTGCACCCTAATGCTACTAGTTATAGTTTGCTCGTAGTACTCTTCTCTACATTCTATGTTATTCTAAGTGTGTAGACCCGAAGCTGCAATCGAAAAGACGAAGAAAACAGTCAGAAGAGTGTGCAGTCGACCGCAGTGGCAGATCCGATCGACCGCGTGCACTGCAGGAAACTGAGAAGAAACTTTCGCTCTGGCCGGTCGACCGGAGTGGTCTCTGCGGTCGACCGAGATCGTGCACGAGACCCTGTAGGATTTCGTCGTTCTGACCGGTCGACCGACTTTGGTAAAGCGGTCGACCACGACGCAGATTCCATGTTTCCTATTTTATTTAGGAATCCTGTTTGGCTGGGGTTTGTTATAAATACCCAAACGTTTTTAGGGTTTGTAAGACACGAAAAAGAGAGCTTTTTGACTGCAAAAAAGAGAGAGAATCTCAGAGAGATAAAACCCTAGTTTGAGAGCTTGTATTCTTCTTCAATTAATAAAAGAGATTGTGTGGTGTGGCTCCCGAGGACGTAGGCACGTTGCCGAACCTCGTTAAATCTGTGTGTTCGTCTCCTTTACTATTTTTGTAAGGTTGGATCTTTATTTGTGGTATTATTCCTACTTTCCTACTTTCAACACAAGGTCCGGAAGGGCAAGGATTCGATTGATTGTTTCGAATCCCCAACAACTGGTATCAGAGCTTCGTTCAGCAATTTGTGTGAGAGCCATGACAGAGGAAATCAAATCTAAGATTGAGAAGTTTGACGGTTCAGACTTCATCTACTGGAAGTCGCAGATGGAGGACTATCTGTACCAGAAGGACTTGTATCGCCCGCTGATGGGCAAGGAAAATGGGCAGAAGAAAGAGGAGTCAGATGGTGATTGGGAGGTACTGGATAGGAAGGCTCTAGGACAAATCCGGTTGTCGTTCGCCAAATCAGTAGCCCATAATATTCTGAAGGAGAAGACGACGGTGGGGCTTATGGAAGCGCTCGCGAAGATGTACGAGCAACCGTCGGCAGCAAACAAGGTGCATCTAGTCAAAACTCTCTTCAACCTCAAGATGGCTGAAGGATGGTCCTTCACGATGCACCTCAGCGAGTTCAACATAATTGTTGATCAACTTATCTTTATGGACATCATGTTCAATGACGAAGTGCAGGCCCTTCTACTACTATCGCAGTTGTCGGATAGTTGGGCGGGTTGTGTGACGGCAATCAGTAATTCGGCGGGGAAAGAGAAGTTAAAGCTGAGTGAGGTTGTTAGCATGATTCTATCCGAGGAGGTTAGAAGGAAATCGTCCGAATCAGAAGGTTCAGGTTCAGCCCTAAGTTTCGAGCAGAGAGGCAGAAGCCAGAAGAAAGGGAACCAGAACAGGAATCGGTCGAAATCAATAAAGAAAAGGTCAAACTCAAAGGTTAGAACCATCAAAGGGAAGTGTTGGAACTGCGGCCAGGAGGGCCATATGTCTTCGGTCTGTAAAGCACCAAAGAAGGATGTGGGTGAGCAGGAGGCTCATATCGTGCAGGATGCCTTGATCCTTGCTATGGATAGTGATTCTGATTCTTAGGTCATCGACTCAGGAGCTTCTTTCCACGCCACTACTAATAGGAAACTACTTCAGAACTATGTAGCAGGGGACTTTGAAAAAGTATATTTGGGGGACAATGAGCCTTGTAATATTGTTGGAAAGGGCGACGTTCAGATACAGATAAAGGGTTCTAAGTGGAACTTGAAGAACGTGAGACACGTGCCGAAGCTGAAGAGGAATCTTGTTTCAATGGGACAGCTTGGAGCAAAAGGCTACGTTTCGACATTTACCGGTGATTCGTGGAAAATCTTCAACGGTACGATGGTTGTTGCCCGTGGCAATAAAACGGGAACTCTCTACCTCACTTTACATGCGAGTGACACCTTCGCAATTGCAGCTGGTAAGGAGAGTACAGATCTGTGGCACAATAGGCTGGGACACATGAGCGAGAAGGGGATAAAAATCCTACATTCACAAGAAAAGCTAACCGGGATCGACGCCGTTGAAGTCGGAGTTTGTGAAGACTGCATATTTAGAAAGCAGAAGAGGGTTAGTTTTCAGAAGGGTGGAAGGCCACCTAAGGCTCAGAAGCTAGAGTTGATTCATACAGATGTATGGGGCCCAGCCAGTGTGTCTTCTTTTGGCAGTTCGAGATACTACGTCACCTTTATCGACGATCACTCGAGGAAGGTGTGTGTTTACTTCATGAAGCACAAGTCAGAGGTGTTCGAAATCTTCAAGAAGTGGAAGGCCATGGTCAAGAACGAGACAGATCTGAAGGTGAAGTGCTTGAGATCAGATAATGGTGGAGAATACGAGCTGGAGGAGTTCAAGAGGTTCTGTGCTACGAATGAGATTCGTTTAGAGAGAACCACTCCAGGGACACCGCAACAGAACGGCATTACGGAGAGAATGAACAGGACCTTGACTGAGCGTGCGCGGAGCATGCGATTACATGTAGGTCTGCCTAAGACATTTTGGGCGGATGCGGTGCATACGACAGCCTACCTGATTAATCACGGGCCATCAGTTCCATTAGATTTTGGGATTCCAGAGGAGGTTTGGAGTGGCAAAAAGATAAATCTCTCACACTTACGAGTACTTGGCTGTGTGGCATATGTTCATATCAGTGACCATGTCAGGGACAAGCTAGAAGCTAAGTCACAGAAGTGTACATTCATTGGATATGGTGTTGATGAGTTCGGGTATCGTCTGTGGGATGAGAAGAACAGGAAGATCATCAGGAGCCGGGATGTGATATTTAATGAGGAGGTGATGTACAAGGATAGGGACAATGCCAAGGATAGCCAAAGCAGTGGGAACAGCACTACGGATACAGGTGGATCCGAGTACATGGATTTGGAGGAACTTCCAGATGGGGGTGACAATGTCAGTTCTGACCGTAGAACGGAAGAGACTACAGGTGCAGAAGCTACTACCCAAGGCGTGGAGCTTAGGAGGTCATCCAGGGTACCCAAACCAAATCCCAAATACCTCTCTTCACTTGATTATCTACTCTTAACAGATTGCAGAGAGCCGAAGTGTTATGAAGAGGCAGTGCAAGTGAGTGAATCTCAGCAGTGGGAGCATGCGATGCAGGAGGAGATTGATTCCCTACTCACTAATGAGACATGGGAGTTAGCTCAGCTACCTGCGCAGAAGAAAGCCTTGCACAATAAATGGGTCTACCGGGTCAAACAGGAGAGTGATGGAAGCAAGAGGTATAAGTCCAGACTAGTCGTGAAGGGGTTTCAACAGCGGGAAGGGGTGAACTACACGGAGATATTTTCGTCTGTTGTGAAACTCACTACCATCAGAGTGGTGTTGAGCTTGGTGGCTGTAGAAGATCTCTTTCTTGAGCAGTTGGATGTGAAGACTGCCTTTCTTCATGGTGACTTGGATGAAGAAATCTACATGAAGCAGCCTGTTGGCTTCATTGAAGAAGGAAAGGAAGAGATGGTGTGCAAGCTCAAGAAGAGCTTATATGGTTTGAAACAGGCTCCGAGACAGTGGTATAAGAAGTTTGATAACTTCATGCAGAACAATGGCTACAGAAGATGCAATTCGGATCATTGCTGTTATTTTAAAAGGTTCGAGTCCAGCTTTATTATTTTGTTATTATATGTTGATGACATGTTGGTAGCAGGACCATATTTGGAAGAGATAAATAGTTTGAAGAAGCAGCTAGCAAAGGAATTTGCAATGAAAGATCTGGGCGCAGTGAAGCAGATTCTAAGGATGCGAATCAGTAGGGATGAAGCTAAAGGGACATTGAGATTGAGCCAAGATGAATACATTGAGAAGGTACTTCAGAGGTTCAACATGCAAAATGCTAAAGTTGTTAGCACACCCCTTGGAAGTCAGTTCAAGCTATCTGAGGAGCAATCGCCTAAGACAGATGCAGATAGAGAGCATATGAGCATGGTGCCATATTCTTCGGCCATTGGGAGTCTCATGTACGCGATGGTTTGCACGAGGCCGGACATCGCCCATGCAGTGGGAGTTATGAGCAGATTTGCAAGCAATCCAGGGAAGCAGCATTGGGAGGCCGTGAAGTGGATAATGCGGTACTTGAGGGGGACAACAAACAAACCACTACGTTTCAGGAGGAAGGAGTTGGTGCTGCAGGGATACGTGGATGCAGACTTTGCCGGTGATCATGATACGTGGCGAAGCACCACGGGGTATGTTTATACCTTAGCGTCGACAGCAGTGAGCTGGGTCTCACGTCTGCAGAAGATTGTGACTTTGTCTACAACCGAGGCTGAGTATGTCGCGGTGACTGAAGCAAGCAAAGAAATGATCTGGTTGAACGGGTGCTTGGAAGAGTTGGATCTAAAGCAAGGAGAGGAGTACTTTATTGTGATAGCCAGAGCGCTATACATCTTGCCAAGAATCCAGTATATCATACCAGAATGAAGCATATCGACGTACGTTACCATTTCATACGCTCGCTGATCGAGGACGGAAAGTTACACTTAA